AAACAACCAGTCACTATAACATGCACTGACCACCAGGGAGAAGACACTCAACACAGGAGCTGCTCCCTGGTGGTCAGTGCACTCCCACAGGGGGAGCGCCGCTCAGCCAGAAGCTGGGCTCATGATTGGTGAGCATAGCGGCAGCTCCGCTGCAGGCAGACAGTAAGGAGCGAGGGGTCCCAGACTGCGAGAGCCCTGACTGCAAGAGGGATGTCTGCCTGCCAGCTTAGGCCTGATCCCCCCAGTGACATCCCCCAAGGAGTCCCAGACTGCGAGAGAGCGCAAGCCAGGCAGAGGGGACCGCACACACCCCCACCCCCACCGCACCCCGGCCCAGTGCATGAATTTCATGCACCAGGCCTCTAGGTGGTTAATAAAATTATATAGTCTGGCCAGTGTTGCTCAGTGCTTGAGCATCAACCAATGAACCAGGAGGTCAGGGTTTGATTCCCAATCAGAGCATGTACCCAGGTTGCAGTCTCAATCCTCAGGGAATGTCCCCCAGGGGACATTCATAAGACAGCCAATTGATCGTTCTGTCTCATTATTGATGTTTCTATCTCTCTCCTACTCTCCCTTTTCCTCTGAAATCAATAAAAATATATTTTTAAAAGAAAAAAAGTTATACAGGTTTTCAGTATACACTTCTATAATATGTCATCTGTATTTATCAATCTTTTGCATTGTTTTGCTTGGTGTGTTTTTTTTGTTTTTAGGCTCTGTGAATTTCCCTGTTATAACTGGATTCACTGTGCACCATAGCTTTGGGGTTGTTGTTTTCATTCTCATTTGTCTCAGGGTATCTTTTGATTTCTTTCTTGATCTTATTGTTAACCTGTTCATTGTTTATTAGCCAATTATTTAGCCTCCAAGTGTTTGTGGGTGTTTTGGGGATTTTTTTGTTTTTTCAGTTTTTTTCTTGTAATTGATTTTTAGGTTCATATCATTGTGATCAGAGGATATGCTTGATATTATTTCAGTCTTCTTAAATTTATTGAGACTTAATTTGAGTCCTTACATCCTAGAGAATGCTCCATGTGCACTTGAAGAGAATGTATGTTCTGCTGCTTTGGAGTGAAATGCTCTGAGGTTATCAATTAAATTCATTTCATCTAGTGTATCATTTGTAGTTTCTGTCCTTGTTGATTTTCTGTCGGGAAGATCTATCCATTAATGTCAATGGGGTGTTAAACTCCCTTACTCTGACCATATTACTGTCAATCTCTCCTTTTTTGTCCATCAAGATTTGCTTTACGTATTTAGGTGTTCCTGTGTTGGATGCATACATGTTTACAAGGGTTATATCCTCTTGTTGAGTTTCTCCCTTTATCATTATGTAATGTCCTTCTTTCTCTTATTTCAGCCTTTGTTTTAAAATCTATTTTGTCTTTCATAAGTCCTGCTATCCCAGCTTTTCATTTGTATGAAATATCTTCTTTCATCTTTTTACTTTGTTTCTATGTATCTTTCATTCTGAGGTGAGTCTCTTGTAGGCAGCATATATATGGGTCTTGTTTTCTTATCCATTTAGCTATCCTATGTCTTTTGATTGGAGCATTTAATCTATCTTAATGAGATGATTGATAGGTACATATTCATTTCCATTTTATTCTGTATAACTATGTTCCTTTATTTTTTCTTCTTCTTCTTAAAGAAGACCCTTTGACATTTCTTACGGTTTAATGAACTCCTTTAGCTTGTTCTCATCTAGGAAGTGTGTGTATATATATATATATATATATATA